AATAAAAATCAAGTTTAAGTCATTTTATTCGACTTTACGTCTGTCCGCCACAAATATTGAAGTCGTAATATCACTAGATAAACGTTTAAAGCACATAAAATCATATTAAAATATATACAAGTATGTACTGTATTTACAGTACACGCATTCGTAAATTTAGATTATTTTTTTTGTACTATATTAAAAACTAAAATTTATTTGTTTGTAAGCTTAAAATAGATTTTTATTAACCATATATTATTTAAAATGCTTTCCTAGTGATAAGTAGATTCGGAGACAGGTAAATTCGACTTACGTCGTTTTTCGACTTACGTCGTTTTCCTGGAACCAATTACCGACGTAAGGCGAGGTATACCTGTATACGTGTCGAAATTCCCCCCACTGAAGGGAGATGGTTAGGATTAAGCATTGTGTCGAAATTCCTCCCACTGAAGGGAGATGGTTAGGATTAAGGCTTACTGTGAAGAACTTGGCTTCTATTATACTATTTTTGCATTTTTGATTGCATTTTAATAGGGTACGTCAAGAGAATGTACACTAAGAAAGGATTTTTCAAAAAATTCACCCCCTCGGGAAAGTATTATAGATTTATAGTAGATACATTTTGAGCCACAACAACGCGTGGTGGGGTCTGCTAGTATCATATATTTGAGTGAAGTAAATTGACTATTATCTAGATTAGTTTGCCTAGACCATTTGCAGAAATCTTTCAAACATTTACACTTTTATAATCTGAATGAGGTAAATGGACCACATTTTTACATAAATAACGAGTTCCAATTGGTCTAACAAAGCAGTTCTTCATGAGAATTTGACAAAAATGTTTTCTTGTCTGAAAATATACCTCTTTTCCAAAAATTGGGAGAATGTGATAAATATTGAAATGCAAAACTAGATCTCACTTCTTTCTGTCCACTTGTCAAATGATCTTTTTTTACATTTACATTCACTAAAGGATTAGAAGGCCTCCACCAATAGGTATAGCGTTGGAAAAGGAAAGATGAAAAGTTATAGTAGAAGTGAGAAGGGTGAAGAGAAGAGAAAGGTAGATAGGAAAGTGTGAAATATGACATTTCAGAGTGCCATTTATTAAACACAAAAAAGTACAAATAGCCAAAATACAGTAGTATACAGAATAACTGCCTCTGTTTTGAGGGAGTAGGAGCCCCATTATGGTTGACTTTCCTTGGAACTTAACAAACATATATTCACGAATGTACAACCCGATTGGGGGAAAGACAGACAAATCCCCCATGCTTTTGGAGGGAACAAAAGAAAGCAACCATATTTACAAAAAAACAGCCTGAAACTGGGCAAAATGGCTCTTAATGGCTACCTTGCCAAAGGCCCTGCACACAAACAAATGTGTATGTACATACATCGCGTATAAAGGGCCTTGGAGGGTACAAAAAACGTGAGTAACAAATTCTCCGTGAAGGGACTGGGGACAATGACATTGTTCCTTCAGGTCTGGTGGTGCATGACAAAAGGGTGGTGTTTTTATAGGATAATGGAGAGTATATCTAAATTCTTTTAACCGTCTTTGTATAGTATCCAATAAGCATTGTAACTGCAATTTTCTTTTTGGCAATGCCACATTAGTAAAAGGTTGTTCAATGACAGAATTTATAATTTCTCAATTCTGTGTCAAAGCCATTCCTTGTGGTATGCTGGATCGTTTTTGCATTGTAAATCAATCATGTTCTTGTCACCAATATGTCCAATTTGACACAATTTTATGAATAAATGATAAATTAGTTCAAGAAATTTATTAAAATTTGAAATGAATAAAATTACTCAAAGCATAGTTCTAAGTTAACATTGATATTCAATTGATCTAGTCTGGTTTATGCATTACATCAAATTTGATTCCATGGTGTCATCTTTGCAGTGATCAGCATGATGTAGCAATTTATTTTTGTCTTTAACTGTGCAATACAGTATGATTCAGAAGGTCCTATCAGGCCCATTTTGAATAAAGCTTGCAAATAGCTTCATATTATAAGAAATAGAGAAATAGTATTTTAGTATGACAAATTTTTTGCATGTTTAGCAACATAATATATAATTATAATTCTCAGTGTTAAATGAAACAAGATAGTTGCCCTTCACATAATCCTAGTATTATAAAATGTTATTTAGATCATACTCAATTATTTATTGTGACATCATCACAATACTGGGCTGCAATTTTTAATCATACTTTAAATTGACTTATTATGTTTTTTATTTATATTTTAATATTTATTTTAATATTAATATTTTAAAATAGCATACTAATTTGAGGTGGAGAGCATACTAAATTTAAAATTTATTATGCTCTCCACCTCAAATTAGTACTGTCTTGCCTCTGTATATTAAACTTTTCCTGTTAGCAATAGTCACGTCAGTCATCTAACTCCTTTCAGGGGAAAGTTTTTGAATTGTAATAAGGTGAAATAAAGTGACTTCTGGTTTGCATTGGAAGTTCATATGTCAAATCAAGGCTTCCTGCCCCAAAGCCAGGTGCCGATCTAGGTCCAATGGGGCCCCATTTTTTGTTAATACAAATAATACTATAAATTATTATTATTATTATTATTATTACTATATATCTTGGCAGATAAGACGATAGTAAAATCACAAAAAAAGGCCCCCAAAATCCAGGGTCGTCTTATAGGACAGATACAAAAAAAATTAGATTGAAATTTATATAAATTAAAACCATTATAAAAAGACAGACAAACCGTAATTATTTACTAGAAGAGAGTAGGGTATGTGCACAAAATAGAATAGCCCATATGACGTTTTTGTGAATAGTCAAGGTCATTACCCAAATGCCAAATCAGTGCCAATGTTTGCAACAATCACAAGGCAGTGCTGCCAGATGCAAGAAAATAAAATTTGTTCATAACCCTTTCAGAACCTTTTTATCCAGTAAGGTATAATACAGTATTTAGTTGCAAGAACAAATGTTTTTGACACACTATCAAGTTCTGCTTTAGGTTCGATATTGCAATGTTATTCCAACTTTGGAATGCCCAGAGTTCAAATTTTAAACTGCCAATTAAATAATTCAAAAACTTGAATTATTTAATTGGCCAAATAAAAATACCAAATAATTTGGCTATTTGTGTCATTCTCCGTTATATAGGCCCAGTGTCCTCATATTAATGTTTTCATCCAAAATTTTGTAAATAAGATGCCACTATTATTGGGGATCCTTCTCATAAGCATATTGCCATGCATATGATATTGTGTTGTTATCCTTGTAGTTTATGCCCTGTGCAAATTAATATTAAGGCAATTAGAGCAAAGGATCATCCCTGGATTCACAGATGAAATCATATTATACAGGAGATATATAGATGATGTAATAGTTGTCTGGAAAATACACTGAGTGTTAGCAATTTTTTAAATGCCATCAATAACAACCCATATGGTCTTACACTCAAACTAGACCAAATGTCGTCTTCAGAGGTGCATTTTTTTAGACATCTGCATACGAATCAACCAAAACGAAATACAAATGACAGTATACTACAAACTGGGGTTCTCGCCATTATACATACCAGCACATTCAGAAGACCTATATCAATATAAGATAGCTGCTTTCAGGGCTTTAGTAAAAAGAGCATTCACCCACAACACCAGAAGTGAAGACACGGCCAAAGAACTCAAGCACCTGGAAGATATAGCAGCCATTCATGGATACAATAGAAGTATAATTCATAGGCTAGCCCAGGAGTTCCACACTTCACACACAGGAGTCTGCAATGACATGGAAAGGGTAAGATCCTTCAGGTTTCCTGAGCATGAAAATAATACAAATCGCATGGTCATCCAGTACAACAAAGACTTTCAGCACATATACAAGGAAATAGCGGAGGAGAAGAGGATCAAACTAACGTACACAAGAACCCAGACAATATATGTGCTACTAAGGAATGAAAAAGACAAGCCGAGTAACATAAGAGCATCAGAGGTATACAGGATATCAATTAAAGACAACAGGTTTCATAGTGTACTACATAGGATCAACAAAAACGTCGCTACAAAAAAGACTGAAGGAACATAAATATGACATATACAAGAGTAGGTGCACCACAGCACTGACAACACATGCATCAGACCTGGATGTACTACATGCTGACTTAGGGAATGCTACTCTTATAAAGAAGTCATTCCAAACTGATCACATAAGGACACTGGAAAAACTAGAAATATATAAAGCCAACAGAGCAGGAAACTGCATAAACTATAAGGATAATAACACAATATTGTATGTGTGGTAACATGCTTATGAGAAGGATCCCCAATAATAGTGACATCTTATTTACAAAATTTTGGATGAAAACATTAATATGAGGACGCTGGGCCTATATATTTTATAACAGAGAATGACACAAATAGCCAAATTATTTGGTATTAAATAATTCGAACACTTGAATTAATTGGCAGTTTAAAATTTGAACTCTGGTCATTCCAAAGTTGGAACAACATCGCAATATCGAACCTGAAGCAGAACTTGATAGTGTCGAAAACATTTGTTCTTGCATCTAAATATTGTACGTTACTGGATAAAAAGGTTCTGAAAGGGTTAAATTTAATCTAATTTTTTATTAATAATATTTAATATAATTAAATTGTCAAATGATCTTTTTTTACATTTACATTCACTAAAGNTTAAATTGATAACATTTCAGACATTGTTATAAATCTAATAAAATTATTTGATATAATAATATAAAGACTATACTATGCCCTATAGAAAAATATTTCTTCTATATTCTAGAATAGAAAATTATATAATTTTACAGTAAAATTTTTTTGATTTTTAGACACTGATTGCTTGACAAGAAATTGCTGTGGCCCTATGCGTCCATTTGATTTACAAATTCTGGATAATTTTCAGAGAGAAGTCATTCATTTGTATCGTCCATTACGATGTGATTCCTGCTGCTGTCCTTGCTGTCTTCAGGTTTGTAAAATTTATATTCTTTTTGGTAAAACAAATAAGCAAGCAAACTTTATTGCCTTCAACTATCAGTAGCATGCTGCCCATAGAAGTTGTGGAAGCACTGCTTTCCTTGTATTTTCTAAAATATAAATACATATTGTGTGATTACTTTAATATTTTACAGTACTTTGAATTAATTAGAATTAATATTTTATTATAACCACATTATGTGTCTTATTACAAATTTCTATACTTCATTTGAAAAACAATGATAAGATTGCTATTGTATATTTAAATATAAATTTGTATATGCATATTCCCAATGGAAGTGCTGTATCGTTGAATATGGGATAGCTTCCATGACAAAAATATTTAAATGGTGTAAAGCAGCCAGATTACAGCATTCATGCATGTGTTTTACAGAGCACCAACCTCACACAGTTTAGCTTGTGGATGCAACACATCAAAATATTATATAACACTTCTAATGATTCTATCAGAGCTGGCACAGCTTTTCTTTATATTCAAATGTCACTGCACGCCACTGTCAACTATAGCTCATATAGTTGAGGGTAACATTGGTAAAATGTATGTTGGATTATATTTGTAGCAAACAATATCAGTGTAAGAATCATAGGAGATGCTATTAGATTCCTATGTATTTTCCAAGGGCTGGAAGTAGTAGGGAATCAATGTAATGGACAGAAAGGGAACAAAGAGAGAGACCAGAAGGTGTCAACTGTTTATGAGAAGGACTGTAAGAAGACTATGAAAATAAAGACATGATCACTTTTTATTTAAAACATATTCTTAATTTATTATATTGATATTTAAATCATATATACAAGGTAGGTGCTAAAAGTTTTCAGTCTGACTATATTTTAGACATGATAGGAATAAAATAATGATAGTATCAGATAGCACCATCTGTATGAAGACTAATAAAACTGTTTTTTCTGACAATTTGCATAAGTCGCTTGGAAACATTAATTTTAGTTAGACTTGTTGCATTAATTTTTATCATGTTTGCCCTTTCTGGACAATATGCCAGGGCACACAGCTGCCAAGGCTGCTGTAAAGGAGTGTGGGTTTGAGGAGCTTGACTGTCCTTCCTATAGACTGGACCTGGCTCCTAGTTATGTGATTACTATCTGTTTCCAAAACTAAAAAAATACCTTCAAAAAAAGGAGACAGTTTATGAGCATTTTGCAGACAAAACTGCAGACTATTTTTTCAAGGATATTGGAATGCTAATTCCAAGATGTAATAAGTGTGTTGAACTGCAAGGAGACTATATTAAAAAAATGACATCATTGTTTAATACCTAAAACATCTAAAAATAGGCTGGAAACTTTTGGCACCTACCACACACACACACACACACATCTAAATATATAAAATTACTTGTCCTGACTAACTGACTGAATCACTGATTGTTTCATCATTGGTCAGAGCAAACCGCTGAAGCTAAAGAGGTGAAATTTGGTACACAGTTAGAGTATGTCATGGAAACACACACTAAGAAGGAATTTTTTGAAATTCTCCCGCAGGGGGAGAGGGAGAGCATTAAGGCTTAACCAGAAGAACGGCTTCTACTGTACTATTTTAGATGCAATTTGTTGTATAAAATGATGTGATGATGGTGTAAAATGTTCCCGTTTACACGGTCTAAAATACAGTACACTGTTCCTTTCTAACAATAACAACACAATTAAACTTTAATGTCTCAAATGAGCAAGTGACACTCTGGCACTCCACAATCGAGCAACACTCAAGCACCCGACAGTTATTGATAATTACAACACTGGTTCTTGACCAGCCACACAGTTACCCACTCTGGTAACACACACTCATCAGTACTACCTCCACACACAACACTGACTCAACCCACACAAAGGGAAGCGCACAAATTTTCCCTCTCTCACAATTTCTCCCTCTCCAGGTGGGACAATCTCATCCCGCATTCTTAGGATACTATTACATCACCCACCTAACACGTGTGACAGAGCTATGGACTGTCCATCAACACTTGAAAACATCCACACACCTGACACATGTTACAATTGAACTTAACACGATTTTTTTGTTTTCAACTACATTTAGTCTTTATTGAGTACTTAGGTGTATTAAATTGATAACATTTCAGACATTGTTATAAATATTTTTATTTATTTTGATTTTTTAACCAAATGTTCGAATCGTTTTAAATTCAAATTTGTTATTGCATATTGGTTCAATTATAGAACGATTGTAAACTTTCCAGAAAATTGATCAAATTGAAAACAGTTTGTTTGATTCTTGGCAATTCTTATCATTCTCAGCGGTAGGTGTTATATAACAATTACTTTGGTTGTTGAAATACTGAATATAAATGGTGTTTGCTTGCAAATTCTGCGTGGGCGAAGTCACGGGTAACAGCTAGTATATATATAACAAACTTTCTGCAAAGAAAAGTTTTTAAATGAATATACATGAAAATGAAACACCTGGGCTTGCTAAAACTTTTCATGGATTAAAAGTTCTTTCCTCTTACTGCTCAGAGGACAATGAATAAAAAACAAATAATATAAGTAAATAATATAATGATTAAAAATTATTTGCAGATAAATTATACAAATGAAATGTCCAAAAGAAGTTAAAATTATATATATAGAATAGAGATACAGTAAATAAAATTATGATGGCATTTATAATTTGAATTTTTAACAGAACAGAAGTAATGTGCTGCATATCTAGAAAGCTCTGATCTTTAATATTCAGATCAATTCTCATTGGGCTGCAGTCTCCAAATTGCCAACCTATAAATTCCACTGGTGTCTGTCTGTCGTTCCTTAATCTCGAGAATGGAGTTAGATACAGTGGAATCCCGGTTAACGAACTTAATCTGTTCCGCGACTCCGTTCGTTAACTGAATTGTTCGTTAACCGAAGCAATTTTTCCCATAGAAATTAATGCAAATGCAATTAATCCGTTCTAGTCTTCGAAATTTTTGTCATTTTATTTGAAATATACAGTAATTTTCTTTGATGAAAATGTAGGAAAACGTAGTATCTATCATTACAGCAACAAACATGTAAACTTTGTTTAATAATACCTTCGTTTGTTGTAGTTGGTGGCAGAAAAGTGGAGATATACGAACATTAATGCTTAGAACGGGAATCCCTCCAAAAAAATAACGGGTAGCACTTCATCGGAAGAGTCTTCGTGTCGAAGTCTCTTTCGGTAAAAACCCACCAGTGGCTAAGTGGTCTTCGTACCTTGAACACGACCTTCGTTCGTGGGTTCGCACCTCGCTCAGACGGGCTGGCCACATGGAGTTTTCCGGGATTTCTCCATGTCTGTAACACCTCCCAGATGGCATTCCCCCTAGTCAGATCGCTCAAGTGTTGCGTTGCCATAACTTAACAAAGAAACGAACACTTTCCGTGAGGAACAAGCAATTGATCTAAAGTTGATTGTCTTACTCTTTTAATCAAAATTTTTTTCAAATGCGATAGCGCATTGTCGTTTTCTATTGCCACTATGACTTTTTTCTTTCTTTGATGCCATATTGATGAAATATATAAATCACAAAACTGAAAAAAAGAAGTATAGTACAAACACTCGGAAAAGCAATGCTTAACTCGCGCATGCCTAACACCAACTAAAATTTGACACAAAATACCGTTACGTTCGTTATCCGAATTTTGTTCATTACCCGAGACAAAATTTTTGCAAAATAAAAGTTCGTTAACCGATTTGGTCGTTAACCGATTTGGTCGTTAACCAGGACGTTCGTTAACCGGGGTTCCACTGTACATGAAAGTTGAGACCAGATGTGGAAAGCTTAGGGGCAGATGGTCCTGATATATGAACTACCAGTTAAAATGGAAGTCGCATTATTTCAATTATAAAATTTTCTTCGGAATGGAGTTAGGTAGATGACTGGCATCACTATTGTTAACAGGAAAAGTATGATATACAGGGGCAAGACAATACTAAAATTGAGAGTATATATTTTAAGTTAAATAAATTAAAAAATATGATTAAAAATTGCAGCCTGGCATTGTGACAATCCACAGTAAATAATTGCTTGTTAGATGTATGTCAATTCTTAATGATTATCATATTTTATAAAAAGCTGCAGCAAAGTTTGGTAATTTGATTCTTTTTAATATAAGGATATAAACAGTGGTGATATTCACAGGTTTGCACAGGTTTGGCCGAACCCGTTGTTAACATTTTCAAAGTTTTCCGAACCTTGTTAAAAACACATAACATTTCTCAGTGGTTTTGTTTCTTTTAAAAAATATATTAAAATATACGTATTATACTATGTAACACTACTAAACTAAAGCCTTATACCCCGTTTGCCTTGTTGTGACCTCCCTCGACTGTTTCAATCTCGACTGAAACGAGGTTCAATCGCGGTCAACTCAAAAAAGTTCTTGAAACTAGATCCAGGGGTCATATTCTGGTCACCGTCACTGGTCTCTCGTCTCTCACAAGACAGTCTCTGATTGGCTAATCCAAATGATTAGCCAATCAGAGACTGGCTTGTGAGAGACAAGAGACCAGAGATGGTGACCAGAATACGACCCCAGCATAAGAGAGATCCCACAATCCCACGCGCACGAGAAAATACAAGATGGCTGTGGAACACGTGTCTAATAAAATATGTACAAAATAAACCATTTTGAACACTCTTTATTATTATTTATATATATATGTAGTTCTGGCATAAAAAATGTTAAATTTTAACTGACTTAATTTTGCAAACGCATCTTTTTTATTTATATGGGTATCTTAAGGTCAGTTTTTGTGCTAATGTTGCTAATGCACCATTTGAGTGAAAAAAAATTGTTAAGGAAAAAGTTTCTGTTAGTGAACCCTTTGTTAAATATTTTGAATATCACCACTGAATATAAAAAATCTGGAATTTCATACATCTTTCACTGAACATTCAAACTACGATTTCTGAAATTATTTTCAATCTGATATTTTTGTATTTTTTGTTATTACTTGTAGTATATACTGGTTTTTGTTATCATCTTAAGTATGTTTTTCAATGCTTGAGTTGTTTGTAGACAGTTGACATAAACAACAAATTAAAGCCTAAATGAGACAAATCTAATAACAGAATATTTATTTATCTATTTTTAATGTCTTGTCATATGTTGAATGAATTGAATTATAAAATTTCCACTTACTGATATGTTAATTCATAATATTGATTGATATTAATTCAAATTTAAAATGACAAATTTAAATGCATTTTAGTATGAATTTAATAACAATCTTGTAAAGTTACTTATCAATGGAGCAAATCCATGGAGGTGTTCATATTTATATATTAATAGGTAATCTGTTCCTGACCACCTTCAGCAGCCCAATTTTGGTTTTTGCATTGCTTTGAAACATTCTGTGCTTAATTTATAATCATTCTTTATATAGAAAATTTTAGTTTTACTAAATAACTGCATTTAACACAGCTAATTTTTCTTTATTACATTTTTGTAAGACAAAAGAAATATTGTGATTTAAAATTATAACTGTTATGATTTGCTGTTAGGGAATACTAAACTAAAGCAAGTGTCAATATTGCAAACTGTGTATGAACTGGCAACATCCGTGCAAGACCGCTCGAAACAAGAAGCGACCTGTTTTTCAAATTGCATGCCAAGTTACGGATGGGTCAACAAGTGCCTTTAGTCTTAGATTAGAATAAAGTTTAATTCTAAGTTAAAAGGACTGCCATCATTGTTCTAACATTTGCTCACATTAATTTTTTCTTAAATAGATGGATTTGTACATTACATAAAATGCATTGACATTGTGACATTTAATGAGGTTTCAAGGATCAAACTGTAACATGTAATAGCACCTAATATGTAAATATATTTATTTTTCCTGCAAAAAATTGCTCATCTCAGTGAGTGAGTCAGTCAATGAGTCTAATGTAGCTTTATAATATAGATAAAGTATAATTCCTTATTTGTTTTGCTTTTGATATTTTATATTCATTTAATCAAAGTATAATTAATAATTATCTTCATTTAAATCATTTTATATCTTATAAATAGTTTAATGTAGAAATTCAGCTTATTTCAAAACTTTTAATTACTTTTTTGTATTTCATTTCAAAGAAATTTTTTGTAAAATTTAAAAAAAATTAATAATAGTTAGTAAATAAACGATTGTTATATGGAAAAGATTTTTTACAAATAATTTACCTGATAGTTATTTATATTTATATTAAAATTAGTAGTCAAATTTTAGATACGTATACTGTCATGGCGGCACTTCATACTAGTTATTGATACGTGTGCTTAAGAATAACCATGAATCACTATCGTGAATTAATAACTAGTAACGTTTGGCACAAGGCTGCCTGCCGGCGGCTCCCCTCCAGGAGGAGTTAGTCTTATGTACGAACAGTCGGGACAGGCGCCATGACAGTATACGTATCTAGAATCTAACCAACTTAGTTTTGGGGTTGAAATACTAATTCATTTACATAATAATTTACTACTATTATCAATATTAAAAATCAGAAAATAATATAAAATTTTTCAATACTTATTTTATGTCAGTATTTAATTGATGCATACAACATATTTTATTTAATTAATTTGGAATATGAAAAAATTTAGATATTAAATGTATGAAAACTTAATATTGTAATTCTAGAGTTTGGAAGTTACTGCACCTCCTGGAACAATTATAGGCTATGTAACACAAGAATGGAGTATTTGTTATCCAAAGTATCGTATTGAAAATGCAGCAAAAGAATGTGTATTGCGTATTGAAGGTCCATGCTGCACTTTTAGTATTTGTGGAGATGTAGAATTCAAGGTAAATAAAAAGTATTATATCAGTGTTGTATTTAATAATATATATATATAATATATTATTTCTTTATAGTTAAATTAGTTTACTGAATTATAATTATTTACTTAAATTTTATAAAATAATATTAGTTTCCATAAATTATTATAAATTAGATAATAGCCAAATGAAATATAAATGAAACAGCAGTCCAAATTTTTTTAACTACCAAAATATATTGGACTGTTTTAAAATTTGTGTGATATTTATTGAATTTATTGATTGAGATGATGATAGTGATCTAAATCAAATAAGTTTTCCTTCAGATTGCTAAATGTTCATGTTAGCAAAGAATGTATTTAATGTTAGATGGCATTGCATAGAAACTGTGTTAATGACTATTCAAAAATAATGAATCCATGAATCTAACATAAAACTGAACAAATTAAAGCAGATAACTGAATCAATATAACATGTTTTTAACAAATGGAAAAGTACTGTTTTTATTAGAAAATTAGTAATGTTTATGTTTCTATGCTAACATAACAAAAATTAAGAGTTTAAATAGAAGTTCTGTTATGTACTTAGTCTCCAAATACTTCAGCTTTGAGTATGGTACTTTAATTTCTGCAAAAACTTTCAAATATAAAAGCTGTGAAGTCAAAGTTCAAAATCACAAATAAAATGCTATTCAAATCATGATCTTTCAACATTTAAAGAGGAGGTTGTGACATTTTTTCAGTAGCTTGTAAAAGGTTATAATGCTGATTTTAAAATAGCTTCAAATGCAAATGTTTTGTATTAAAAAAAAAAGCAATTTATTTTGTATTACTATTTAGATTTTATTTAAGAATTTTAATTCCTAGTATCTATGTTTATTTTGTTTTATTTGTTGTTGTTGTTATTGTTTTTTATGAGCTTGGATCTGGTTGTATGCAGTCATGAAAAATTAATATGCATATTTAATTTTTTTAAACTTTTATTTAAATAAAGCAATAAGTAAGAATGAAATACAAATGAACCATAACGAACAGTTAACTTAAGCATATAAAATTAATTTTATTTATTCAATAATTAGTATATATATATTATCATAAAAAAAATCCAGTAACTTGTTCTCTAACTTTCCTGGCAACATATAAAACTGCATGTTTGGTGCCATCTGTTATGATATTTTATTAAAAACACTTTTTTATTTTTAATGGCAAAAAGCTTAATTTTGAGGGTAGGGATGGGTTTTATAAAAAATTGTAAATGCTAATAATGAGTAAAATCATCAAGTCTGACCCTACTGGAGATATGACACACTACCCCCTTTATTTTCCACCCTGTTGACTTTTAACCACCAAAATTTTATAGCATCAATCCCCCCTAATAAACAAACCTCCCCAGCAAAATTTCAGAAATTTTTGACAAAAAACACAGGAGTTATTAACCTTTAAAGAGGGTGAACAAAATTGTGCCCCATACACACACACTAACATCCATACATACAGAAAAAAACCCTTAATTATTTTGCACATCTCAATGTTTCAAGGTCCCGAGTCCAAAAAATGTAAAAATCTTGGAGTCATTTTTTGACTGATTGCCATACTTTCCCTTTGTTATATATAACAGAGCTGGGAAAGTAATAAGAAAATTTTATATTTGTATATGATTTTGTGAACACTAAATATTTTTGAATCATAAATAATATCTTCAATTAAACTTATTTTAGTTGTATCATTTGAATTCAAAATTTGGTAAATAAAACTTTGATATGGAGAATACCCATTTAAAGAAGCAACAAAGACAACTATTGGGTTGTTCAAAAAGTAAGTTTGTTTTTTCTGTGGAAATTTGTATTGTATTTTTTTCTACAGAAAAAAATACAATATTTTTATAATAAATAAATATTTTATTGAATTATACTGGTATATCGACCATTTTGGTCAAATACCTGTTGTCATCGTTTCTGGTAGTAGCATGATTTCACATTCATAAAAGTTTTGATCGTTGCTTATGAAAAACTGATCCAAATGATTTTTGACATTGTCGTTTCAAGTAAATATCTTACAGTTAAAAAATTTGTATAGACTGGAACAAGTAATAATCTGAGTGTGCTCGATCTGGCGAATATGGTTGGTGTGATAGCATGTCCCATTTAAGTTATAACAGTTTCTGACGAGTTACCAAACTTGTGTGAAATTTGACATTATCGTGGTAAAACACTACACCTGTTTTGTTGATCAATTCTGGCCGGCTTTTCTGTTTGATGATATTACTCAATTTGTTTACTTGCTGGCAGTACACTTTTGAATCAATTGTTAAATTGTTGGTAAAAGCTCCAAAAAAAAAATTTCCTTAAAATCCCACCAAAGAGAGCATCTCTCTTTAAGAACACGTGGAACCCATATATCATGCTTTAAAACAAAACCAATTTGTTTCAAGTAATCATAAACAGTTCAATTTAACAAATTTAATCTCTCTTTATTCGGCAATTTGCTTCAATCTATACCTTTATTTTATTTTCATTGGTTTCAACTGGCCATCCAGAATTTGGTGCATCTTCAATATTGAAATTGCCAGAACGAAATTTTGTAAACCAGTTTTGGCACTGTCTTTCTCTCAACACATCATCACCATACGTGTACCACAATTTTTTTCTCGCTTGAACAGCATTTTGATTTTTTGGTAATAAAAAAGCAAAATATGCCAAAATTGCTGCTTTCGATCTTCCATATTTGATGGCACACAAAAAATAAACAATTGCACAAAATCAAACAAAATTTTTTATAAATAAGCCTTAAAATGCTAGCTGTCAAAATATATAATGATAATATGGTTTAGAATGAAAATGGCGGGAAAAATACGACTAATCTGTCTAGTGGTAAAAAAAATGAAATTACTTTCCGAACAATCCAATAGATGGCTGATGCAGAAAAGATATCAGCCTGCCATTTTGAGGAATCCAGGCTTAACTATGAATTGAAATCTCAGAAATTTTGATAGGTAGTTTAATTTGGATATGTTAATCTCTGTTCCTCTAATCCAGTTCCTTCCATTGTGGATATGGTCAAACCCATAATGAGTGTGAAAAATTAATAGGTTGTTGCAGGGCAGAAAAAGTTAAAGAAACACTAATAATTGTCAAAAATATGTTTGGAATTTAGAATTCAAATTTCAAAGTTAACTTGTAGAATTTTTAATCTAATTATTAAAAATAATGTTTTATTTATATAAATATACAGTGGAAAACCTCACTTAATGAGCATAATTCGTTCTAGAATGTTACTCGTTAAGTGAATTAATATAAAATATGATGTGTTCCATGCCAAAAAAAATACTCAAATATTTTATGTTTATTCAAAGAAAATTATACAATATACATTGTTAAGGAGTGTGAATCATCTTCTTTTCTTCTAGCTTGGAATGAACCAACCTGGAATATGAATTTGATTTGGCCACACGAAATTGTCCGCAATATGACACGGAAATGCTTAATCAAGTCCTCATCAATCCCTGTAATAGAAGCAGAAATGCTTGAGTTTTCGAAAAATTGTCGAGCGGTATTCTCATCATTCGAGCTACCGAAACCAGGCTTTGGTTGATCGACTATTAGACCCAATTCTATACGGAAACCCTTCTGTATATTCGTTTTTCAGAATCTTATTTCTTTATTTTCTTTATCACTATGCGCTTGCCACAGTTTGATTTCAAGCTTATATGCTACATGCAAACAATATTCAAAACACCAGACAAATTCAAGAAAAAGAGCAAAACATTCCGCGTCATTAATGTACAAAATTCAGAAAACTATGTTTTACATTGCAAGAACTCGCACCAATGACACAGTTGCAGCTAGTTGCAGCTAGTTTTAATTTTTTTCATTCAATAATAGTTCGATCTACAACATGCGATCGGTCCAGTCGCAGAACTCTACAGAATTTATGAACTTTTCTCTACATGTTTAAAATTTTCTGTTGTAATCTTCCGTTCATTTTCGTACAAATCATTCGTTTACTGTTATCACATAAAGTATTATTATCAATTTTGTGTTACATAATGATATTCTACTTACTTGCAGCTGCAAATTCCATTTTTTAAATTTAAATTCGATTGATTTTTAGAGATTTGGCACCCTCTTGAATATAGCGTAGAAATCTTTGCTTACTGCATGATGCGTCTAGCTCGATCGAGGGTCCCCTTTCAACTAAACTACAATAGCAGGTATAAGGATAGGGGGCGCTAAAGTATAGAATTCAACCTTCGGACTCTTATCCAACCGAACCCACGACTAGAAATTACCGGAACTTAAACTCTATTTTTCGACTTTTGGCCAGCTTTTTGGGATTTGGTCCCACTGTGAGACGTGGAGAACACCCAGAAATCTCCATGTGGCCAGCCTGTCTGAGTGCTGCACAAACCATGACTGAACTCTCAGTGTTCAGGGATGGAACTGCTTGGCCACTGGTGGGCCATAAGATTCTAATACTTACTTATGCTGACACATCTATGATTGAAGGAGAAATGGAGTTACAAACTGTAGTTTCTTCAAAATCTAACATTAAAGAACAAGTGTCATTTAGAACAAACCAAAATGGAAATAGAATGAAATTTATTTAAATTTTAGATTTATATGTATTTGGATTATTTTGAAAGTAAAAATTACTATCTACACATATTTGTTAATTCCTTGTTTTGTCTCATTTCTAGAAATTGAACATTTCTTCTTCATTCCATCAGTACCTTATGTAAAAATGATATAAAATAATACTCCAGGACCTTAAAGGTAGACAAATGAAAAAGGACAAGTGAAGATGCTATTTTGGATAATCTATGTTTATTTTACTGAGAGATTCTCACTATTGGTAACAGTGTATTGAAAATCCACCAGAGGACTCTCAGCTTATAAATGTGATTTCATAACATGGATGCTGTTGAGAAAGATTTTTAACAATTTTTAATGTTTGTTGACGTTGTAGCCTACAAAAAAGGGTCAACAATTAAAAATGATAATTTTTTATTTTTGTAGTTTAAAAATTTTT